TTTTTTTTTTAGATTATTCATTTATTTGACGGAGAGAGCACAAGCAGGGGGAGCAACAGAGGGAGAGGGAGAAGCCCTGATGTGGGGCTTGATCCCAGGACCCCCCAGATCATGACCCGAGCCAAAGGCAGACGCTTCACCGACCCAGCCAGCCAAGTGCCTCTGAGCCGGCCTTCGAAGGATGGATGCAGGACTGAGGAGGACGTATCACGGCAGCCGTGGCCAGGGAGACACAACGCTGTTTGTGGACTGTTTCCATGTCACACGCGAACATGGGCGCCCCAGACTGGTGGAAACAGACTTGAAACTGCAGGTCAAGTTCAGGCCACTTTGGAAGCTGACCTGCCTCTGTGGCACCAACTGGCCTTCCTGGGGGTGGGGATGCAGATTGCAAGGCCCACGGTGGCCTGCGGAGGCTCCCAGGACGCCCCCACCTGCGGTGCTGGGGGTTCCCTGGTGACATGGGGCTGGGGAGGGGGCTAAGGGGGACCCCAGGAGGAGGCACAGCTCTTGCCTGGCCTCCTCCATCCAAGGGCTGGGGCCTCACTCCACTGCCCCTTCTCTGGTCTGGAGGTCTGGTTTCCTCCCACCTCCTCTGGAGCCTGGCGGGGGAGGGGAGAGGGCTCCCCTGGGGCCACTCCCCAGGACACTCCCTGAGGGCTAGGCTCTTTACCCAGCTGAAAGGGGCTGCTGAGGCATGAATGCATCTCTCCCTATTTCTGAGCCTGGGTGGGGCTGACACTGGCTTGGGCGGAGTGTTGCAGGGAGGGGATGTCTCCGCTCACCCAGCTCAGGGCAGCCTCCCTCTCTGGGCCTCAGTGGGAGGGGTGAGTGTAGAGGTGGTTAGGTCTCCTGCAGCACCCCCCCTACCCTCCCCCGGGACAATACTCCCTGGAGAGAGGCTCCCCACCCACTCCCCATCCCCACACTGGCCGGCAAGGCCTCCTAAACGCCACTCCAGAAATGCACGGTGGGGGCATCTTCCCGGAATGCTTTTCCACCCACTGCCCCACTCATGGGACTGGCAGGTAGGAAGGGGTGTTGTTCCTCCCGAGGCCTCTGTTTAGGGAGGGACGTCAGGAGGGAAACCATGGGTGCAGGTGGGCCCCACCGGCCTTGTCTACCTGGGCCTTGGGTGGGGCAGGATGGGGAGGAGAGAATGACTGTGCCCCAGGCAGTGTGTGGAGGGGTCACTCAGCCTTCTCCCCAGCCCTGGTGTGAATGGGGAAACGGAGGTCAGCCTGAGCCAGAGGTGGCCCTGCCTTCTTGCACTAAACTCTCTGGCCTCGCCTTGCCCTGCCCTGTGGGCAGAGGGGACAGCCACCAGCCACCAGCTGCCCTCCTGGGCTCTGACAGCTGGGGGCCAGGCTGACTCAGACTCAACACCCCGGCAGGAGGGGCCAGCTTCCCCAAGGGGGCAGGGCGGGCCCGGTAGACCGGTTGGTCCTGAGAGCAGGGCCAGAGGCCGCATGGACGCCACCCGCAGGGGCCTGAGAAGGTTCCAGTGGGGGCTCTGAACCCTTCCAGACCCATAAGGCCTTGCACAGCCCAGGGCAAAGGGGTGCGGGGGGCAGGGTGGGGTCCTGCCCAAGCGGTGAGGATATCCAAGTGGTTCTTCTTTACAGAAGAAGCCTTGCAGACTGCTCAGCCTCTGCTGGGGTCCTGTGGGACCTCTGCCCACGGCAACCTTCTGCTCCTGCTTCTCAGCCTTGGTGAGTAATAGGGGCCGGCTACCGTAGATTGTTAGGGTGCAAAGAGCATCAGAGGACAGCTGAGCATTCTTAAGAAAGGCTCTACCTGCCCCATGCCTCCTTCCTGGTGGCAGGCAGTGCCCCCCCTCCCTGGCAGGTGCCCTGAGGTCAGGCAGTTGTTCCAAGTTCTGGGCAGGTGGCCCGAGTCCGGGCATGTGTCCCAAATCTGGGCACGTGTCCTGAATCCTGAACAGGTGCCCTGAGTCCCAGGTAGGCTTTCGGCCATGTCTCTGCTCCCAGAGGTGCCTCTGTCCCTCTATACCTTGCAACATTGGAAGCTGGGCCAGGGCAGTGATGGGGGCTCAGGCCAAAGGGACAGTGTCCATGGAATGGGTATCGGATTGCCCTGAGCAGTGAGGTCTTAGGAGGAGGATGTGGGGGACCTGGGCTCCCTGGGGTGGGGTAGGCTGTGACATCATGGGGTGCTGAGACTGGGGGGGCCAGCTTTGCCTCCTTCCTACCCAGGGTGGGGGCCTGTGGCAAGCACACCCAGGAGTCCCCGGCCATCCCCTCAAACCTTGTGCCCCTTCCCTTGCAGGGTGGGTGTTTCCTTCCAGGGCCCAAGCTGCAGACTCGAGACTGGTAAGGTCCCTCTGGGGAAAGAGAGGAAGGTGTCTGGTCCGGGTGGGGGTCCTCAGACACTGGGCTACACTTGGCTCAGCCACAGCTATGTTCTATCCTAAAGGTGTCATGACCCCATGGCTGCAAGGCACCTCCCGGGACCTGTCCTGGCAGCAACCTGAGCTGACTGTTGTCCTCTTGAGGGACCGGCGGGACACGGAGAGTAAGCAGGACACCCTGCCCCATTGGCTGTCGGGAGACATGGAGATGGGGATAGTGTTGTGGGTTGCACCTGCCCACACATGTGTGGCCCTTCCTGGCTGCATGGCTTGCTCAGCTGTGACAACCTCGGAGAGTGGACAGAATCACCCCAGTTTGCTGATGTATAAACTGAGGCCTGGAGGGGGTCATGCAGTCCCCAGGGTCTCAGCAAGGTTAGGGAGGAGGAGGTTGACACGACAAGTCCAGCCCCCAACCCCCGCCTGCTCCCGCGGAGAATGTCTGCCTACCTGAGTGGAAGGCCCACGTGATAGATGAAAACCTTGTCTTCTACGAGGAGTGGGAACTGGAGGCCTGTGTGGACGGGGCCCTGCTGGCGGCTCAGATGGACCGCGTGAACATGGTGCCCTTCACCTACCAGCAGCTGGATGTATTCAAGCGCAAACTGGATGAGGTAGTTGGTCATGGGCTCAGGCCTGCCCGCTGTGCCACAGTTTCTGTGGGCACCCAGAGCATGGCCGTGGCCCTCCCGGTCACCTCCCTGGGCAGTTCTATCCACAGGGGTACCCTGAGTCCCTGATCCAGCACCTGAGGTACTTCTTCCTCGAGCTCACCCCCACGGACATCCACAAGTGGAACGTGACATCCCTGGAAACTGTGAAATCTCTTCTCAAGTCAGCAAAGGGCAGACAATGGATGCTCAGGTGACAACCTCCCCCGAGGGAGCAGATGGGGTGAGGCTGTGCAGGCCCCAGGGGATGCCTTTCTCCCAGCCCCAAGACGCCTCAGTGGCTTCCTTCCACAGGTGGCTGCCCTGATTGCCCGCTACGTGGCAGGAGGGGGCCAGCTGGACAAGGCCTCCCTGGACACACTGGCCACCTTCAGCCCCACGTACCTGTGTTTTCTCAGTCCTGAGCAGCTGGGCTCCGTGCAACCCAGCGTCCTTTGGTGAGTCCCAGGGGCCTGCCGGGTGTGGTGGGCATGCCGTACTCCAAGCTCACTGCCCGGCCCCTTGCCCGGCCCCGTGCTGCCTCTTTAGGGCAACCAGGCCCCAGGACCTGGAGGCATGCCGCCCACCGCAGATGGACATCCTCTATCCCTGGGCCCGCGCGGCCTTCCAGAACATCAGTGGGTCTGAATACTTCGTGAAGATCAAGCCCTACCTGGGTGAGCCAGGGAGAAGCCCTGGGGGGCGTGACGGCCCAGGCTCCCCACGCGGGTGCTGCCAGGTTCTTGCCTCACGAGGCAGCTACTGTTGGTGTGGTCGGTGCTCAACGCGCCCCCTGCCCTTACACGTGTGTGTAGGTTGAGATCCTGTGAGTCTGAGCCCCCGCCAGCTTCTTCACCCACCCAGGGGAACCTGGGGCCCAGGAAGTCCTTAGGGTCAGGGGGTAAGACTGGGGGCTGTTGTGAGGTCTCATGCTTGGGGCCCCTCTCCCCGCGAGCAGCTGGGGCCCCCACGGAGGACCTGCGGGCTCTCAGTCGTCAGAAGGTGAACATGGACATGGCCACAATTCAAGACGCTACAGACGGAGGCTGTGCTGGTACGGCTGGGGGCGGGGCCGCGCGGGGGCTGTCAGAGCGCCGGGGTCCGCTCCGAAGTCCCGAGGGGCTGAGGCAGGGTGTTTGGGCCCGGGAAGCATGGGGAGGTCTGGACAGCCTTCTGGGGGAGAGGCAGGGTGACCCTGACGGCCCCCTGGGGGCTCTGGCAGCCGCTGACCATTGCCGAGGTACAAAACCTTCTGGGTCCAAACCTGGTGGGCCTGAAGGCAGAGCAGGAGAGCAGCCCCGTGCGGGACTGGATCTTACGGCAGTGGCAAGATGACCTGGACGGTCTGGGCCTGGGGCTCCACGGTGGCATCCCCAATGGCTACCTGGTCATGGACCTCAGCTTCCGAGGTGGGCCAGGGTGGCCAGCTGGGTGGGGTGGGGGCAGAGCCACGCCCAGCGCCTGAGTCACTCTCTTTGCAGAGGCCCTCTCAGGGGGCGCCCGCCTCCTCGGACCCGGACCAGTGCTCATTGCGATCCCCACTCTGCTCCTGGCTTTGATCCCCAAGTGAGCCCACTGCTCTGGATGCGGGACCTCCCCTGCCCTGAAGCCCTGCCTGGCCCACCCCAAGGGGACTGGACTTCAATAAAAGGCCCCTGTCCTTCCCTGCAGAGATGCCCTGTGGTGTTCTGAGGACCGGGTGGGGAGGCACAACCCCATGAGGTGGTAGATGTGGTTCTTGAGTTGGAGTCCCTCCTGTTTGCACTTGGAGACGGGGAGGGGGGAAAGGGGGTGGCTCTTAGGGCCCCCCTACCACTGTTTCCATTCCCAGGGCCTTCCCTCTGAGGCCAGGCCAACACTCAGGGTGGCTTCTGGGGACAGGGCCCAGGAGATGCAGACAGAAGTCCTATTCCCCACTAAGAGGGTCTCTGTCCCTCCTTGGGCTCAGAGCAAAAGGACGCAGGCAGGAGGATCACCTTGTCTTTTATTCAAATCCATCAGCAAAGCCCCCTCCCCAGTACCAGTTCTTCATCCTGAGGGAGGCCAGAGGATTGGGGCAGCAACTTGGTCAACTGTTCCTGGCTGGCCGCGGGGTGGGCCCAGGTCCTCATTCCAGCTCCATGTCCTGGGAGCTGGATGTGAAGGGACCAGCCCCACAGGCCCCTAGGATGTGGGACATGGCCAGGTCCTCTGGGCCTGGAGCCTGCCCCTGGGCCTGGGCAGGTGTCTGGCTCCACCTTCCAGCCCCAGTTTCCCTGCATGTGGGGCGGGGCTGGTGCCGCCTTTGGAGGCCTTGGTGCAGGCGCCCCAGAAGCAGTCCTGGCTGGGCCCTGGGGTACCCCAATACAGCAGCCCCAGGAGGCCGGAGGGCAGGGCCACAGCGAGTGGCAGGTACCTCAGGTGGGCCGGTGGACTGCCTGTAGGAGGAACGTGGATGGAGCACCTATCAGGCCTGGCTGGGAGCCTCCTGGGCCTGGGCAGGCCCTCACTCTGCGCCCCTGGGCTGGGAAGGCCAGGGGGGACTGCCACGGAGGCTGTTCCTCTGGGCCTCGACAGGGCTCTCAAAGCTTCTCCCACCCCCACTTTCTGGTGCTCGGCAGGTGCTGGAGGAGGTGATTTTGTCCTTTAGTAACTGAACAGCCAGTGTCACCACATGTCACCCAAGCAGGTGAAGGAAAGAGCCAACAGAGAATGAGGTTGGGCGCAAGGTGAGGAGCCAGGGGCAGTCGGGTCCACAGAGGCCCTGCGCAGACAGGGAAGGCACACTAGAGGGGAGGATGGGTCTGGGGCATACCAGAAGTGGGGGCCTTGTTCCCCGGCTGGCCCGAGGTGGGGGCCAGATGGGGCACCCAAGGTGTCGTGTTGGGGGCCCCAGTGGTGGAGCGGGCCAGGCTGGTGGGGCCGGCAGTGTCCCTGTCCAGGCCCAGCTCTCCTAGGACCGACGTATTCAGGCTGCGGAGCCAGGAGCTGATGGTCGGGTGGCTGCGTGCCTTCTGCAGGTCCCCCACGTTCTGGCCCAGCAGTGTGGTCACATTGCCGACACTCAGGCTCTGCAAGGGGAGGAAGAGGGCTATGGGCGCAGGTCTGGAGGGTCCCGCAGTGGCCGGCTTTGGGGCCAAAGGCAGACCCAGCAGGGCAGTACTTAACTGAGGAGCGAGCACAGGGGTGAGGCCTGGCAGAAGCGACCTGGGGTTCATGCTGTCTGTGTACCTCTGACTTTGGGATGCATGGGGCCTGCAGGCTGTGACAGAGGCCTCCCCCGATTTGGCAGCCCCATCCCCCACCCCAGACAGGCCGCCCCGGGGGCCCACCTGCAGCACTCGGGGGTTCAGGTTGGTGAAGGTATCGATATCCATGGAGACGTTAGCCTGGACCAGGTACCGCAGCTCCTCCACGGGGGCACCTCCTGGGGGCAGGCAGTGGTGAGAGGGCAGGGGCGGGGGCCTCTGGGGCCAGGGGGCCCGCACACAGGGCAGGGGCTCACCGAGGTAAGGACGCATAAGGCGGTAGTAGTTAGCTGTGTTCCTGGTGCTGCCAAAGGCCTCGCGGGCCTTGGTGTAGAGTGCGTCCTTCCGGCTCTGGGGGCAGGAGGAGATATCCAGGGCCCCGGCCTGCCTGGGGGAGCGTGAAGCTGGTGGGCGCGCTGGGAGCCCCTCGTGCTCCCGGCCTCTCCCTGCCACAGCTTTCCTCTTGCTCTCTGTACAGCGCTGAATAGTGTCCCCCCCAAAATCACGCCTGCCCAAAACCTCAGAATGCGACCTTGTTTGGAAATAGAGCCTTTCCTATTTGTAGATGTGATGACGATGACATCTCAGGGAATTAGCGCAGCCCCGAGTCTAACAACAGGTGAAGAGAAGGGACTGTGTGCACAGGCGCGGAGTGCAAGGCCCTGCAGCCGCAGGGGCGGAGGTGGGGATGCGTCCACCGGCCCTGGGAAGGCCAAGGGGTTCCGGCAGCACCACCCCAAGCAGGTTGCAGCCACCCCTGCAGGCTTCAGAGGGAGCTGGCCCTAGGACATCGATTTCAGATTGCGTGGGAGAAGTTTTACCACTTGGTTTGTGGTACCTGGTTGTGCAACCATGGGAACCTAGCAGGTTTGTGGTACCTGGTTGTGCAGCCACGGGAACCTAGCAGGCCTCAGGCTGAGCCCCTCCCTCCCTGGCTGGGCGCGTCCCTGGGCTGGCTCACCGGAACTCTGTGGGCCTGATGGCCTGGACCTGCCTGGCACTCATCCAGCAGAGGCGGGAGCCCCCGATGGCCATGAGCAGGGTGCTGGTGATGGTGCCGTTGTGGTCCAGGTACTTCTGTAGGACAGCCTGGAGGCAGGGCCTGGGTCAGCAGGGCCCAGGTCAGCGGGCCCAGGGGCGGCGCACCGCCCGCCCCCCCGACCATGCTGCCCTCACCTCGGTCTGGTTCTCCAGGGCCCCGTCCGAGGCCAACAGGGCCACGACCGTGTCCCTGGACGTGATGTTCCACTGGCCGATCTCCGAGCGGGAGTAGAGGTAGACCAGAGAGGTGATGAGCCGCAGCTGGTCCTCGGGGACGCCATGTGGGTAGACCTGGGTGGGTGGGAGGGTCAGGCCCGCGGCTGGGTGCCTGCCCACCGCCCCCCGCAGCTGGTCTGCGACGCACCTGAGCCAGCTTGGCCTTGACGACACGTTGGCACTCGACTGGCAGTGGGTGCTGCAGAAGGGGGTCCAGGTTGGCTTTGAGCACGCGGCTGCCCAGGCAGGACTCGAGCTGCACACAGTCATAGTGCACTAGGAAGAGGTGGTCATGGAGCGTGGCCGCTGTGATGTCCCCGTGGATGCAGGGTCTCCCTGTGTTTGGGGGGGGGGGGGTTGGGGGTTTTGAGCTGAATTTTGCTGATTCACTCCTAACCTTGACCCACCCTTGAATCCCTCCCAAGCTTGACCTCTAGCCGAGAACCTCGCCCAGACCAGGTAGAGTCAACCCTGACCTTGACCTGCAGTTCAGCTCCACTGGACTCTGACCCCCCAGCCCCACCCCAGGCTGGATGCAGACCCCTGGGTGGTACCCAGGAGGTCCAGCAGCAGGTGGGACTATGTTTTGGGTGCTCCCCCCCAGGGTTAGGAGCCCAGAGGACGGGAGGGACAGCATTCCCAGGCCATGGTGGCCACACTGACCTGTGCCCCGCTTGGGCCGAGAGGACACTGACGCGGCCTTGGCTTTGAGAAAGCCAGTGACGAAGCGCCTGGCATCACGCTGGCTGAGCCGCCCAGCTTGGTACGTGGCCACTGTGCTGCTGAAGAAGGCCAGGCCCACAGCCTGGCCAGACAGGCGTAGAGACTGTACCCGGGGAAGGGCTGCCCGGGGCCACCTGGTTCCTCCTCCCGTCCCGCAGATGGAAACCCTGGGGCAGGGAGTGACTGGGGACGCTCGTCAGGCATTGGAGCCCTACCCCCAGGCCTGGACAGGCTGGTGGAAGGTCGGCTGGATGCCCCTGTCGTTGTCCACAGCCAGCTTGTGAACACCCCCCCCCCCCCCCCACCCCGTAGAGTGTCCTACCTCCTGCACCTGCATCCACAGGCTGGAGCTGATGTAGGTGGCCAGGGATCCCAGGGTCTGCAGCCCCTCTAGGTTCCAGGAACCAGGAGGACTGGTGTGGGGTAAGGGAGCACCGTGTTAGGGTCAGGAGCAGAGCCCCAGCCCCCGGAGGCTGCCTGCCCCTCCCTGAGCACCCAGTTTCCACGGCCTGCTCAGCAGAGACCGTTCCACCCCAGGTGTGGGGGCAGGGGAACTGGGGGTCTGGAGGGTGGCAGTAGCACCCCGAGCCTGTGCACCGTAGGCTGCAGGGTCGGTGGGGCTGTGAGCTGGGGGGACAGGTCACAGGTCAGCAGGTCGGTAGACATTAGGGGTCTCCTGGGCCCAAAGTCCAGGTCCTCTCAAGGAGGAGAGGCCTGGGCAGAGGGCACCGGGCCCTGCCTACCCCAGCACGGTCTTGCCGCCGGCCAGCAGCATGTTGAGGGTGGCTTGCTGGGTGGCCGTCAGCCGGCGGCAGCGCTGCAGGTTCTCCAACACACGCGGGTCTGCGGCCTCGATGCGGGACGCATCCATGTCGCACAGCAGGACCCCAAGGAGCAGCAGGTCAGAGGCGCTGAGCCACGGGTGGGGCGCTCCCTGCCACACAGCGGGTCAGCACGAGCCCGGCCCTGCTGCCTGCCCACCCACCCTGCCCCAGCCCACCCGTTGTGCCTACCAGGCAGGCCAAGGCTGCGTGCCGCAGGGCGACCCTCTGGTCTGGCAGGTTGGCGAGCAGCTCCATGTCCCCCTGAGCGGCGCGGCGGGTGAAGGCCCAGCAATCGGCTTCCCTTACCTGCGTCAGGCTGCGGGCAGGTTGGGGGGCTGTTGGGAGGGTGGGGGCCACCCGAGGGTCCTCCTCTGGGGTGGCCCAGATGTCCCTGGGGAGCTGGGGTCCCTGGGACTCCGAAGGAGGCATGCTCAGCTGTCCCCGCACGGGGGGGGGGGGGGCACTCACTTGTAGAACAGCAACAGGTTGGGAGGGTGCAGCTCAAAGTCGTCCTGGAGGCCATGCCGAGCGGCCAGGTTGGCCAGGCAGCTGAGCTGGGCAGGGCAGGGGCGTGTCGCGGGCTTGCCCAGCCTGGGGCTCCCAGCCCCCCTCCTGCTGCCACCTTACCCTCGCCCTCAGCGTGGCCTGGGCTCTGTCACCTGGATGCCCTGCCGGCTCCCCGTCTCAGGAGGTGTCGGGGCCACCCTGAAAGCCCCCCACCCCCGACCCCCACAGCACTACAGCGGCTCAGTCGTTCATCCCAACGTCATCTCCTGCCTAGACGTTTTGTCTCGCTTGACTTACTTCGGGGTTTTCGGATTTATTGCTAATTTCATACTAATTTTATAATGAGACAGAATAGTAGCTTTTCTTCCTTCTGTTTCTTTAAACTCAGGGGCAGGTAATGCTTGGGTCAGCTGTGGGTCGAGGTGGACTCAGATGACAGGGGAGAGGCCGGCAGGCTGGAAGATCCACACGGGGCCCAGAGGACCTGTCCCCAGTGTGGGCACCATGTGCCAATGGAGGCAGGAAGCGTCTAGGGTAGGCCTGCTGGACAATCCCTCACCCGAGCCAAGAACAGAAGTCAGGGGGTCTGCAGGGAATTGACTGAGAAGTCCTGGAAATGGTCCCAAATGGGCAGCACCAGAGAGTCACCCAAGGAAGGGAAACCTCAACGTCAGACAGCCGGACCTCCTGCCACGTTGGGGTCTACCCAACAGCTGCGTCTCAGGTGTTTGCGAGGCTGGCCGGGTCTCGCTTCCCATCCCAGCCCCGTGGGCCCCCTGATGACCTGAGCCCTTTGCTGGGGATGCCCTTCTTCCCCGCCTGTCTCCGGGAAGTCCACCCCCTGCCCTCAGCACCCTGGCCTGCTCCCGCCAGCCACAGCTCTTTACCTGCCAGGCTCTGAGGGGGACCTGCTGGGTGGCCATCCCCCGGATGAGAGCGGAAAGCTGGTCCCGGGGCAGCTGGCTCGCCGGCTGGCACCAGAAGTCGTGCAGGAGGGAGGTGTCGGCACTGGGCAGACAGGGGACAGGCGGTGAGGAGTGGCATCGAGGCCAGCGCCCCCAACACTGAGGGAGCGAGACACACACGAGACCGCGGCTTCACTCAGCACTCACTCACTCCTGTTGGCACACAGTGGGCGCCAGGCTCCAAGCTGTGAGCAGGGCTTGGAAGTGGCCCTGGCCTGGACTCTGGGTCTATGCCTCCTCCGGAGGCCTCGTCCCAGCGGGCTCTGGGCTCAGGCAGGCTCCACTGTCCCAGCGATGGCTGAGGGTGTGGAGGAGATGTGGCCTGAGCGCCAGCCGGGTCACCGCAGCAGGCCTGGCTTCTGGCTGAGTGCTCCTCACGGTGTGCATCTATCTAATAAAATCTGTGTGTGAGGAGGATATCTTGTGGGACTTCACCCCAGGCCTCTAACCCTGCCTAATCAGTCCTCCAATGAATTGACTGATGGCTCATCAGTGATCTCTAATCCTCCAGGGAAGGGAAGGGTGGCTGAGCCCACATACGAGACCTCGGGACAGTGCTTGGGAATGACTGAGTCTTTGGGACCTGGGAGAGCAGCCCAGTCTTGGGGCAGAGGAAGAAATCCAAGAGGACTCAGGACGAGAAGTAATTGCCCGGCAGGCCAGGAAAGCAGTGCAAGCTGTGAGGGGTTCAGGGTCCCAGGCAGCTGCGACAGCCTGGGGGACCCAGTCCTGACCACGTGGCTGTGAGTCTGATGCAGGACACTGGATGCTCTGGGCCATCTAGGGGCAAAGTCGGTGAGTGATGGGAGCCCTGCCTCAGCTTTCCTGGGCCATCGGGTGCAGAACCTGGGGATGCACGCCCCCCCTCCCCCCGGCCTGCCAGAGGATCAGCTGCAGAAACGTGACCTGGCACTCACCTGGCCCACAGGTCAGCCCTGCTGTCATCCAGCCCTCCCTGGGAGAAACCCTGGGCCCGGAGACAAGAGCAGTGGGCAGTGAGCCACATGAGGAGGGCGAGGCCTGGGCTCATCTGGGCACCTGGAACAGAACAGGCCTTGAGCTGCTGCGGGCCCCCAGCACACTGGGGCACTGCCTGCTGGGGGCATCCCTCAGGGTCTGCCTGGGGCTCCCTGTGTCCTAGGGTAGGCCTAGGACCACAGATGGTCCTACCACCTCAGGGGAGCCTGGCTGTGGGAACCACCACTGGAGGGCCCAATGTGCCCCTTTGTGAGGGCTGTCTCACCTGCTCTGGGGCCCAAGGCTGTCCTGGCAGAAAGGTGTGGGGTCATGGGCGGTGGGTGCAGGACTAGCTGGAGAGGAGACAGGAGGTGGTAAGGCCCACCCCATCACCTTCCCTGCCCTCTTTGGCACGGGGCACAGAGAGGGAGGTGCCATCCAGGGTCATGTAGGTTGGGCTCCCTGCAACTGCATCTCTGTGTCTTTGGGGAGGACACAAACACCACAAAGTGCCTCTCGGGAACTAAGGGAGTGGCAAGAGGAGGGGCCGGGCCAAAGCCCCGGGCCTTTCTTATCACAGGTTGGGGCTCCTGAGACCTGGAGGCTTCAGTGTCTCCAATAAACAGATCTCTCAACAGCTACAGGGGAGGGGCGGTGGTCCCAGGAAGTCCCTGCAGGCAGCTGTGGGTAGAGGCCTGGGGGCTCTCCAACCTGCCCCCCATTCCTGGGCGGCCTAGAAAGCCCTCCTCCCTCGCAGGGCCTCAGACGCCCAGCCAGACCTGGCCTCTGGCCACAGCCCACACCACAGCCCCACAGGTTGCCCTGCCCAGTCTCCAGATGGAGGCCTTAACTGTGAGATGAAGATGTCAGGGTGCCCGTGGGCTCTAGACCCTGCACGGCCCAGGGTGTTACTGTCCCATGCGGGCGACAGAGTGGAAGCCAGACGAGCCCAGCTATCCACCCAGGGCCACACCGAGACTGCCTCCTAGCCGGGCCCGGTGGGTGCAGGTGCCAAGTGGCCCTGCCCCAGCCCCCACTTCTCACCTGAGCATGGAGACCATCTGCTGTAGAGGGAGGTTGCTCCTGCACCCCGCGGTGGCCGTCCGATGTGTGTGTGGGGGTGCAGGCCGGTGCCAGGAGCTGCAGTCCCCTGCAGTGACCCCAGTCCACTGAGTGTGTCAGCCCCTGCAGCTGAGCACTGGGGCTCCACGGTGGTGCAGGGTGGGGACACCTGGGTTCCTGCTCACCTGCATGCCTCACCAGCATCCGCCTGCCTGCCCGCCCACTCCTGCAGTGATGCCGGCCAGGCCGATGTGGAGGGGAGGGGCGGGGGCTGTGTCAGGTGAGGCTGCCGTGCCCACCCCTGGGGGCCTCAAGCAGAGCAGACACCTGCTCTCCAGCCCTGGGGGAGCGGGAGGCTGAGCTCACGGTTGGCGGCCACCCAGCACACATCCCTTCCCCCTGGGGGATGTGTCTGTGCCCCGAGGATCGGATGTGCCTTCATACGTGTGCGTCTGCGTTTGTCACGCGTGCTGGTGTTTTTGTGCACACGCGTGTGTGTCTGGGAGCATCCACAACTATGTGATGCATGTATTCCCTGCAGGGACGCCAGGCACATGCAGATCCAACATGGTGGCGGTTTCTGCCCTGTGAGCACGTGCGTCCATACACGTATGTGCTGGGGGTTAAGGGGGGGGTGCAGGCACCAGGTAGGTGACCCCAATGGCAAAGAGCTGTGCCACACATGCCCTGCGGGCCCAGGACCGGGCAGCTCCATAAGCCTGGGCCTCTGGGGCTGAGTGGGAGGTGCCCCAGCGAGGGTGGGTGGGGCCAGGTGTCCAGAACTGAGTCCTGGCTCTCCTCATCCCCTGGGAGGGGCGCAACTCCCACCTGGCAGGGCCAGGAGGGCACCGGGCCTTGAACCCCTGGACCCACTAGCACCACAAGTAGGGCTGCACATGCCCAAAGGGCCTGCCGCACGGCCAAGAGGACACACTGACCCTAGAGGGCCAACAGCTGGAGGGGCCAGCTGGGGACTGCCGCCCAGCCCTGCATGGAAGTTCAGCCGCACCATATAGAGCTGGATGCGCTCCTGGCCTCCCAGTACCACTGGGGGTGCTGCCCCACCAGCACACAGACCCCCAGGAGCTTGCCTGCCACAGACCTGCCCCACGCTTCACCCCCCCTGCAGCATCTGTCTGGCCACTCCTGCCTGAAGAAACTCTCCCTGCCATCTGTGCCCAGGAGACCCTGCTCAACTCCCATGCCTTCCAAACCTTGCCCACCACAGCTAGGGTGTGCGCCCCAGTGTCTGGGCTCCACAGCCTCAGCTTTGAGGCCCCCCAGGGCAGTGGGAGACGGCCAATCTGCAGGAAGCAAGGTCTGGATCTGGCCTGCGGGTGGCTCTCTGGGTCGAGGGGGACTCAAGGGGCCAAGGAGACCTTTCGGGGGAGCAGCAGGGCTGTGAGAGGGGCAACATACATTCCCCAGGGTGGGGCCTACCCCTGTGCGCCTTCCCGTCCTGCTTCCCTACCTTGGGGGCTACCAGTCTGTCTAGCCCTCCACCTTCTCTGCCGTTTGCTTTGTAGGCCCAGCCCATGGGCCCCACCAGGCCAGAGTCTACAACAGTGTCCTCCAGCTGGCCACACCTGCCCTCTGCTGTCCCCCCAGGGCCCATCCCAGCCAGGAGTGCCTACCCTGCAAGGTAGCTGGCGTTCCAATGGCGGAGAACCCTAAGGAGAATGTGGGGACAATGACTCTAGGAAGGGACCCTGGTGAGAACAGATGGGCGCTCCAATGCTTTTGGCTAGGTCAACGGGGGATGTCTAGGAACGGAGCTGACCCAATTTCAGTCCTCCACCCACAGTCCAGCCTCCATCCACACTAGGCTGCAGGGTGCTCACTGCATGGCAGGGGGAGGGTCCATCCTGGCTCCTGCTGGGGGGCCTAGGGCAGAGATCTGCCCAGTGTAGGAAAAAGGGCAGGGGTCTGGGGCCTCAAACCTCCCCATCGGATGGATTCATAGTCACTCATGAGATCAGTCACTGAGTATTTATTCTGAGGCCCCGGAGTTCAGCTACAACTAGGCCGACGTGGGCATGTCATTGGGATGGAAGAGATGGGGGCTGGCCACTCTTGCTCCCCAGCTGAAGTGTGAGGACCTGTGCTGGCCTAGGCACTGTGAGAAGACCGAGGGACGTGGCTCGGACCCTCCCCCATGTGCCGTGTGGGTGGGGAGGAGGAGGCCCATGAGCAGAATCTGGTAAAAGCAAAGGCACGAGGCAGCACTGGGTGGGCGGGATGGGTCAGGGTCCGCAGGCGGAGAAGACCCAGCCAGGATAGGCTGACCAACACAGACGGTCCAAGAAGAGCAACGAGGAGCAGGGCGCTCTGAGGCCTGGGGGCCCTGCAAGAGCCTAACTCGAGGCTGGCCCGCTGTGGGCTCTGTCCCTTAGAGAGTGACCCTGGGCAAATCCATAAAACAAGCCCCTAGGAGTGAAGCTTTGGAGCCAGGAAGGCAGGCCTTGGTTTCCCCTCTCAAGGGAACTGGGTGCTCAGAGGGAGGTCCCATCCTCCAAACTCCCCGGCAGCCTGGCTCCCCCTGCTGGCCCTGCCCGCCCCTCTCCAGGCCTGGCTGCTGGAGCCAGGGCCTCAGGCCCCATCCACAGTGGGGCTGAGCACAGAACACCCTGACTCAGGATGGGCCCAGGGCTGTCCCCTGCAGCCTCCATCCCCCTAGTGGGCCCAGCCTGCCACTCCCACCCAGCCTGCTGCCCTCAGTTGTCAGGCTCTAAGGTCCACTCTGACAGCCACTGCAAGCATGAGGCCCGCTGTGCCTCTGTCTCAGGGGGCTTGTTGGGGGGCATGGAAGTGCTGCAAGGCCCAGGACTCCCTTCTGTGGGATCAGGGTCGGGAGCAGCTCTCAGGACCTGGACAAGCTGGTCCAGTGACTGCACCAGAGTATGGGGGCTCCAGCAGGCATCAAGCGCCGGCACGAAGGGATCTGGTGTGCAGGCCTCCACACGTTCAGTGTGAGTGGGGATACGCAGATAAAAGGCGTGCAGCATCATGCGGAAGGGCTGGTCTTCTTGGTCCAATGCCTGCCCGTAGGTCAGGTCGCCCACGACAGGATGGCTGAGAGCACTGCAATGCACACGCAGCTGGTGCGTCCGGCCTGTGGGGGTGGGGTGGGGCAAGAGGACTGGTAGGGTGGGGGTGCCATTCCATGCCCACCCCTCACCCACTCACATCACCCCTAGCCCTAGCCCCTATTGCCCTCTTCAAGCCCCCAAAACCCCGAGACAAGGCAGACCCGTTACCCATTACAGACAAGAACGTCAGAGCTTAGAAGAGGGATCGACCTCGAGATCACTGCCAGTAGGGGCAGGGCCAGGTGCGCTAGACCACCCCCGTTGGTCTTCCAGGATAGCAAGGCCTGGGGTGGGTGGGTGGGGGGATAGCAAAGTGGCCCCAGGCAGGCCATTCTGCCCCGTGCCACCACATATTATGCTGTGGGACAGACACACCTCCGTACACATGGCTGAGAAGCACCATTAGCAGACAGCAAGCGGGCCTGGAAAGTTTCCTGCCTCGCCGCTGGACGCACCTGTGAGGGGCTGTAGCAGCACTTTGGAGACAGGATCGCCGGCATAGAGCCCATACTCCAGGACCACCAGCTCTGTAAGGCTTGGTTTGGGGTTCTCACAGCCTGTGGAGAGCAAGACGAGGTGCGAGGGTTGGCTGGACCTGTGGAGAGCCCAACCCACGCCAGCCCGGCTCATTCAGGGCCCCCACTGGGTGACGAGTCCTTCCCTCCGTACCCTGAGTGCCCTCGATGCACATGGTGTGAGCCCGACCCTCGGTGCTGTTCCTGCCGATGGCGTAGTTGATGGTCATCCGGCTCTCCTGCACGTGTCCCCGCACCTGCTGGGCACAGACTCACAAGCTGCTCTCAGGACCACCCACCCCTTCTGGGGAGCCCACCTGGCACTGACAGCCTGCCGAAGCGGCTGAGAATTGGAATCCCCTGCCCAGGGGGGTGGTCAGGCCTTACCAGAGCCAGATAGGCTTTGGTGACGCGCCGCTCCTTGAAGCACTTATAAGCGCTGCCCGCTGCCGCCTTGTTCAAGGCCACGCAGAGTGCCCCGCTGGTGGAGAAGTCCAACTGGTGGCAGAACCTGACACAAGGCCGGGGATCAGGGCTGGCCAGACTGGGGAGTGGCTACTTCCTCCCACAGAAGCTGCTGGGGGCCACTGGCCGGCCTCCGCCTACCTGAACCCATAGTAGGTGTCAGGATCTGCTAACTCCGGGAAGTGGTGGCGCAGCTGCTTCTGGAGGGTCGGAGTCTCCCGCCACATCCTACTGTCGATCCGCAGGTCCCAGTGCTTGTTCACCACAAGGAAGTCCTGGCTCTGGTACACCACGGACAGGTTCTCTATTCGGCCTGGTTCCATGGTAGAGGTCTGCAAGTGGGGGCTCACGGGGAGTCCACAGTGGACTCATTAGGGTCCCCGGGGTCCCCAGGGTCGCGGGTGGGAAGCCGCTGATGCGGTGTCAGCCGAGCACACGGTCCCAGTGTGTATGCACCCGCTAGGTCCCTTTCCACGCCTACCTCTGAGCTCCGACTGTGGGGCTGCCCAGCCCAGACGCAGATCCCGGGGGAAGCAGTCCTGCGCCCCGGCCCACCCCCGCGGACCCTCCCGGGACAGTGCACCAACATGCCACGGGAGTCTCTTCCTGAGCGGGGAAGGGCCAGGAGAGGGGCTGCCGCGCCCCCCCACGGCCCGGGCGGGCCAGGTCAGCAGAGTGAGGGAGCCCCCTACGCCCCCCTCTCCCTCCGCGCAGACACCCCCTCCCCGGCAGCCCCCGCCCCCCGCGTCTGATGGGCACAGGCCGCCTACCAGCGCCTCCCGCGGCTCCGCCCACTCCGGGACCGACCTGCAGCCCGGCCGCGCCGCCCGGGTTCCGCGAGGCCGCTGCCGTGCCCTGGCTCCAGCACCCCGTCCCCGCGCCTGGCGACCCAGCGACCCCGGAGCCGCGCCTCAGAGGGCCCTACGGGAGCGCGCAGCCCCGCCCCACGCCCCGCCCACGCCATGGACGGGCGGCCGTGCGGGCCAATGATGAGAATCCTGGGATGCCGCACTGGCTCTGCCCCGCCTCGCCTGCGCGCGCAGCCCCGCCCCCGCCGCGCTCTTCCCGTTGGCCAATGGAGAGAGCCGCCGGGCACGCCGGCAGGGATTGGCGGCGCCGGGACGCTGGGGGCGGGTGCGGCGCGCGGCGGCCGCGCGGGAGGTTCGGAGCGGACGGCTGGTCCGGTGGGAGCGGGAGCCATGGGAGACCTCGAGCTCGAGCTGGGCGGTGCCCAGGACGACTTCCACAGCCAGTTCGCGGACGAGCTGGAGGTGCTGGCGGAGCTGGAAGGTGGGCGCGGGCCCCGCCGCAGCCTCGTCCCCCGTAGTCCGGGAGGGCTGCCTGGAGGAGGGGAGGCGAGCGGGGGCCGCGAGGCTGGAGCGAGAAGGGTCCTCCGGCGCCGCCGGCCGCGGGAGCTCTTGCCTGTATGTGGGGACGCGCCGATCTAGCGCAGCTGCTGTCATCTTTCCCTCCTGGCAGGAACGGCGGCCCTGTCATCCCCCAGGGACCCCTGGCCCACGGTGGGCCGGTCCCGGCTGACGTCCGAGGAGGCCGTTGCTGGAGGCGACGCTGCCACTCCTTGCTCTCCAGGTGGACGTCCAGGGAACCACAATGGCAGTGCGACGAAGAGGCATCTGGCCGACCACATCCCGAGGGACACGGCTTTGCCCCCCAGTATGTCCGCAGGGGCCCAGGGCCCAGGGCTGGGGTGTGAGGCTGGGGAAGAGCCTCTGTTCCTTCCGTCTCCCTCCCCAGCCCCCAGGGTCAAACGGCTTAGGCTGGAAGTCGTCAAGAAGCTGAACTTCAGGCCCGAGGAGATGGAAGAGCCGCCCCTTCCTGACTCCCCTGCCAGGGGCATCACCCCCCCACCGAGTCCCGAGGTCCCCACTGAGCCGTGGGGCAAGGGGTGTGTGGCTGGGGGCACAGGTGTCCCAGGGATTGTGGAAGGATCCTGGGTTTCCGGAGGCCTGGGGCTGGGGGTGGGTGGGAGGGATGTATAGTTGAGTGGATCTGGGTTCCTCCGATGGTAGCAGGAGGGGTGAGTCCCTAAGACAGTCCCTGTCCCTTCCCAGGCTCTTGGATGCTGGTGCTGATGTGGGTCTCCTGCAGGCCTCGCCAGCAGCCCGAAATCCCGTCCTGAGGCGGCCCCCTGTCCTGGAGGACTATGTCAGTGTGACCTCCATGGGTGGCTGCCGGGCTTTTCTGGTCCTGCGGGCTGACCCAGTGGGCACAGGGGTGCAGGTGGGTGCTGTGTGGCCACAAGGGGGTGGGGGGCTCAGTGCTGCCCAGGAGAGTCCTAGACCTCATGTCCCCACTGGGACCCTGGGCACCCCTCAGGAAGTTCACCTGGCTTGCCTCCCTTTCCCTTTCGTATCTTCTTTTTCTTTTTTTAAACATTTTATTTATTTACTTGAAAGAGAGAGACACAGTGAGAGAGGGAACACAAGCAGGGGGAGTGAGAGAGGGAGAAGCAGACTTCCCGCGGAGCAGGGAGCCTGATGTGGGGCTCGATCCCAGGACCCTGGGATCATGACCTGAGTTGAAGGCAGATGCTTAATGACTGAGCCACCCAGGCGCCCTCCTTTTCATATCTTCTTTCTTTTTTTTTTTTCTTCCTTAGGGTTGTTTTCATCCCACTTTTTTTTTTTTTGGAATTATTGTTTAGAGAGTAAGCTTGTCCTGTTGTTGGTATGTTCGTGCTGAAATAATGCCACCTGGGTCCCTGAGCACTTTTGGGAGGGGATCCGTGA